ACTTTTGTCAGATGTTCCATGGTCCAAGATCCAAATGTGACGATTATACATACATATAGAGTTGTGTAGGGTGTAAAGTTATATATAAGCAGTTTTATACTATTAAATATTGCAGCCAAATCTAACATATAGATTCCCGGTGCGCGCTTTAGGACCTGGGTATGTTTCGTTCCAGCCGCAGAAGGACGCGGACTCTGCGGTGTCTGTGGTGATGCTGTGAGGCCGTGAAGTGTGGAGAAAGTTCAGGGCTAATGATTGACTGGAGGTCGGCAGTGACAGCGGGAGGAGGAGGAGGAGGAGGTGCAGGTGAAGAGGAGAGAGTGAAGAAAGTGAAGAATCAAAAACTTACAGCCAGTTGCTTGCGTTGGCCGAGAGCAGCGCCAAACAGAGCGTCAGGGCGCAGCGTAAGAGCACCGAGTCCCGGGTCATCGCGCAAAGTAATCCTGGGCCCGGAGCGTCTCCAGGGAACCGACCCACGGCGGACTGTTAATAATCCATCTCCATCTCCGCGGATCCACAGATGTGCCGTGGACATGCGCCTGAACCCCCCCAAAGCGCGCGTCACTCCAAAAACCTCTGCGCGCGTGAGGATGCGCTCGGACGTCCCACGGCGGACACTTGTTGCTCCAAGGAGAGAGAGGGAGAGAGCGCGATGGGGGGGCGTCACACTTGCACTCCGCTGCCTGTCATGGAATCCAGTGTTAGGGTTAGCCCTCTCGTCTCTCTTTCTTGTCTCTGGTCTCTCTTTGGCTGTATTCTCTCTCTCTGGTCTCTCTCTGGTTGTCCTCTCTCTTTCTGGTCTCTCTCCGATCTCTTCCTCTGGGTTTCTCTGGTCTCTCTCTAGTCTCTCTGTCTCTGGACTCTCTCTGGTCTCTAGTCTCTCTGAACTCTCTCTGGTCTCTGGTCTCTCTTGTCTCTCTGGTCTCTGTCTTTTCTCTAGTCTCTCTGGACTCTCTCTGGTCTCTAGTCTCTCTGGTCTCTCGGTGCGCGCCTCTCGCTGTGCGTCTGTCCGCTGCAGGAGCAAAGTGAGTGCCTTTAGCGGAGAGAGGGAGCGGGGGGCGGCGCGTCGCGGAGGTGAAGTGCTCGGGGATGAGGAGGCGGGTTCAGGGTGTGTGTTTTAGAGCCCCCCTGGGAGGATGCAATAGCGCTGCCTTTCACTCCGACTGCCCCGAACTCAGTGAGAGCAGACAGAGACAGGAGCAGGAGTCCAGCCTGATGGGCTCATTATACACGTGTGTCAGACTGTACGAAGAGGATGCCATGACACAGACTGCGCTCACGACACCGCCTCTGCTGCTGTTCATCTTAAATACTATTTAAACTCACTTTTAGAATGATGTATTTGTTTGTTTATAGTTGTGTTTCCGCTCCTGGACTCCTGGATTTCTCCTTCAGGGATCAATAAAGTGTCTGTCTCTCTCTCTCTCTGTCTTTCTCTGCTCTCTCTTCTCTCTCTCTCTCTCTGCTCTCTCTCTCTCTCTGCTCTCTGTCTTTCTCTGCTCTCTCTCTCTCTCTGCTCTCTGTCTTTCTCTGCTCTCTCTCTCTCCTCTCTCTCTCTTTCTCTCTCTCTGTCTTTCTCTGCTCTCTCTCTCTCTCTCTCTGCTCTCTGTCTTTCTCTGCTCTCTCTCTCTCCTCTCTCTCTCTTTCTCTCTCTCTGTCTCTCTGTGTGTCTCTCGGCTCTTTGTCTCTGTCTGTCTCTCTCTCTCTCTCTTTCTCTGCTCTCTCTCTCTGCTCTCTCTCTCTCTCTCTGCCCTCTCTCTCTGCTCTCTCTCTCTCTCTGCTCTCTCTCTCTTTGTCCTTCTCTCTCTCTCTCAATTCCTTTTGTAGACAAAAAGCTAAAGATAAACATTTTAATATTTAGTATGAATCTTTTATGAGACTTTTGGTGAAACTGATTCTTACAGCAGCAGGAGTCAGTTGTTTGAGGTTTCGTGAACATTTGCATTATAAATATTTTTTTAATTAGGATTATCTTATTATTAAATAAAATATACATTTACACTATGACTCTTAGAATTCTGAAACTACTAGAACTCCCAAAGCCGCCATTTTGACTGTTTCCATTCAAACCAATGAAAATCTGAAAAATGAGCCTAATGAGTTGTTTTAAATGTTGTTGAATGTGGCGTGTCCTGGATGGTCACTGACCTCAGAACCTCCTGCACCAGAGGAACGACTCTATAAACCCAGAAGGAGAAATGAAAAACCTCAGGGAGATTTGTACACATGTACTGGTTAGTGCTGTGATGGGAGACCTCTGAGAACAGCAGGTGCCACAGTGGGGCGGCTGTAAAGTCCTAAACTGGGGTTGTGTCCTTAGGCAAGACACTTCCCCCACATTAGAATGAGTCTGGTGTGTGTGAATAGTTGGTGGTGGGACAGACTGGTTGCCTCTCTTCTGTCAGTGTGTCCCAGGGCAGCTGTGGCTACAGTAAATAACGACTTGTGAACACAATATAAAACCAATGCATTATTATTATTATTAAATTGGAAATCCGTTCAGGGACCACTATAAACAGTCTGGGGGCCGCATCTGGCTCGCGGGCCATGTGTTTGACACCTGGGTCTTAAAGCCTGTAGTATTTTCCCCAGAACGTGACAAAAAACCGGTGACAGCAGAAGCCAACGTACATTTGGAAACAAGTGATCAATTGAGGAGGCAATCAGGGCGCGATGCGAGAGTCCGCATTAAGAACACATTTGTTTTGGCCTTTTTCACCTGAAAGTGTGGAAGGGAAAGAGTGGAGGTACAGTGGTCAGGCTGCGGCGGCTCACTGAAGCACGGCTGCTCTGAATGCATCCTGACATGTTAGACTTGGAGTCCCACAGCTCAAACATAACACACAACAGAGCATCTTTGTGGAGGGAGCAGCAGCTTATGCACGAGCTCTCATTTCTGCTGTGAAACTGCTGTGTTGTGATCTGGAGAAAGAGTGTTAATACTCAGACTCCCAGAGCAGTCAATCTGACGGCTTTTAGTTTTGGAACTGTAAAGACTCAGTTTGTGTTTTTTATAAGTAGTTCATTTTATTCATTTATTTATCGATCTTCTCATTTTCCACCAGAGAATATAAAGTGCTAGTTACCATAGCAACACACTGTTTACTGGCAGCAGTTAGCGTTAGCCTTTTGTGCTGTTTTTGAATAAAAAATGCATTGTTTTTTATCTGGCGCTTTTTTGAACGTTCAAAGACACTTGACACCTCATTGTTCATTCAGTCCATACACGGTGATAAACTACTACTGTAGCCACAGCTGCCCTGGGGCACACTGACAGAAGTGAGGCACACACCAGACTCATTCTAATGTGGGGGAAGTGTCTTGCCTAAGGACACAATGGTAGTTTGGCACTTTACAGCCGCCCCACTGTGGCACCTGCTGTTCTCCCAGAAATCTCCCATCACAGCACTAACCAGGCCCTGCCTTGCTTAGCTGCAGAGGTCTTGCAGGATCTGGCCTTCACCAGCAGGTACGGCTCAAAATAAGGAGCAATACATTTGTTTTAAAGACAGAAAACTGCTTTTAGTGTGATGTCACGGTGATGTCACAGTGATGTCACAGTGATGTCACGGTGATGTCACAGTGATGTCACAGTGATGTCACAGTGGTACCATGACATCACCGTGCCAGGACTGAGACAGGAGGTTTTACACTACGATGTATTCTTGTTTAGCCCTGAATCAGAACAGCATCATCTCAGAGACTTCACAAAACCCTTTAAATCACCACAGATCAGAGAATCAACAGTTAACACATACACAACATAGAACACATGTTGATAAATGTCATACATGTAGAATGTTAAAGTGTTCTGGATCATCACCATAGACTGTATATATTAACGGACAGAGTCACGCCTATCTCCGCCGTTCTAACTAATGGGCCAAAAAATGTGCTCTACTGGAGCTATCCAAAATGGCCGCGAGTGGTCCCGCCCACAAGAAAATTGTGGAAAAACGCATCTGCGCATGCGTCAGCCGGCGCAACTCCATTCATTTGAACGAGAGACTTCTAAAGTCCACAGCGACTAAACTAGACTGGTCCAGAACACTCAGCATTGACACACATGTGGAACGGAGCTTTGGGCCAAGAGACAACTTTTGGACCATCCTGTAAAGACGTTTTCCAGAGGTCTGCCAACGCTATATGTTAGCATTGGCTAATTCTTCTTCTGGGTCCACCCCCACAGGCCCGGGGTGGTATTGCAGCATGTCAGCGCACGTCATTTTGGCCACTTTTGAGCTGGGACCCGCCCACACTGATCATCACACACAGTTTTAGATAGAAAGGGGCGGAGCTACATGTCAGCATGGATGGATCTAAAAACAACTCCAGACAGAGCACCAGCGAGAGATAAAATACCATCAGATTTAACCCAAAAAGCAGTGATAAAAATATATATAGTACATAAATCTCGTCTAAGACGACAAAGAAGACACTATAAAACAATACAAGATGCTAACTAAGGTCATTTCCAATATTTTGTGTAATTATCGCCATGACAACAACACGTACAGATCCAAATGCCAGTGAGGAGAGAGAGCAGTGGAGCAGGAGAAAACCAGAAAACACATCACTTTAAAGATTAAACACGATCAAAAAAGAGTACATACATTTATTTGTTATTTCAAACCTCTGCGGATAAACCAATACAATTCACTCCAAAATAGTCTTGGTCGATAAAGTAACTATGGTAACAGGCCTCGTCATTAAAAGGCTATGTATTAATAACTGTCCAGAGAGAGAGACCAGAGAGAGACCAGAGAGAGACCAGAGAGACCAGAGAGAGAGACCAGAGAGAGAGACCAGAGAGAGAGACCAGAGAGAGAGACCAGAGAGAGAGAGACCAGAGAGAGAGACCAGAGAGAGAGAGACCAGAGAGAGAGAGACCAGAGAGAGAGAGACCAGAGAGAGAGAGACCAGAGAGAGAGAGACCAGAGAGAGAGAGACCAGAGAGAGAGAGACCAGAGAGAGAGAGACCAGAGAGAGAGAGACCAGAGAGAGAGAGACCAGAGAGAGAGAGACCAGAGAGAGAGACCAGAGAGAGAGACCAGAGAGAGAGACCAGAGAGAGAGACCAGAGAGAGAGACCAGAGAGAGACCAGAGAGAGACCAGAGAGACCAGAGAGAGAGACCAGAGAGAGAGACCAGAGAGAGAGACCAGAGAGAGAGACCAGAGAGAGAGAGACCAGAGAGAGAGACCAGAGAGAGAGACCAGAGAGAGAGACCAGAGAGAGAGACCAGAGAGAGAGACCAGAGAGAGAGACCAGAGAGAGAAACCAGAGATAGACCAGAGAGAGAGACCACAGTTAAATGTGAGTACTCACCAGTTGACCAACATGGCGGCGTCGTTCCCGGTCAGAAACGGCAGCTCTCCTCTGACCTGTTCCCAGACACATCCGTACAGCAAGACCAGAATGCACCCCATGGTCATTCTGCCTCCACCTGCCCAGCCCGGATCCATGCATTCAGGGTCTACGCTTATCCTGGGGGGGGGTCCCACGTTTGCACCAATCGGGGAGAAGCACCCAGACCAGCCTCAGTCATGGGGAGACCCGGCGTGGGCTTTGGTTACGAGCCTGGAGTCCAGTCCTCACGGCCACACATCCTGAACGGTCCACGCATTTTCTTCTTCTGCTGTAATCCTGGAGCATGGACAACCTTCCATTCAACTCCACTAAACTCTAAAATCTTTCAAATCAACTCCACTAAACTCTAAAATCTTTAAACTCAACTGGACTAAACTCTAAAATCCAAAATGAATCTGATATCCTAAATCCAGCCTCCGTCCATGACTGCGTGTTGGGTTGACGGCTGGTGCGTGTCAACCGCTCTTGGGATTGGCACAAGGGGGCGGAGCTTAGGCGAGGATCCCGGGACAGGAAGTGGATCCCCCCGTCCTCCCCCCCCTCCCCCTCCCACGTCAGTCACTCACTGATGGCTGGATGCAGATTGTAACCAGGGATTAGGGTAGTTCTCAAAGCGGATTTTGCCCCAGAGAAAGGAAAGCCTGTGTGTGTGTGTATGTGTGTGTGTGTGTGTGTGTCTTTCTCACTCTTTGTGTGTGTGTGTCTGTGTGTTCTTCTCTCTTTGTGTGTGTGTGTGTGTCTGTATGTGTCTTTCTCTGTGTGTGTGTCTCTCTGTGTGCGTGTGTCTCTGTGTGTTTGCCTTTTTGTGTGGGTGTGTCTGTGTTTGTGTGTGTGTGTATGCATGTGCCTCTGTGTGTCTTGTCTGTGTGTGTGTGTGTGTGTGTGTACATGTCAGCTGATGTGTGTGTGTGTGTGTGTACATGTCAGCTGATGTGTGTGTGTATTACTAGCGCTTTCTTTAGGACAGTAACAAATTAAGGCTTTTGCAGTTTGCAGTGTGTCTAAAATATATTGTGTTGCTCTAAACCGGGTCAACTACAAACGACTAATCCAACATTTTAAACCAACAGCTTTGGGCCGTGGTGTCGTTCCTCCGTCACACTCTCCGCCGCTGATCTCACCCGGACCTAAAACCATTTATTCTGGTTTTGCCCCAAATTACAACAGTATTTATCTCCAAGGACTTCACAAAACTGTCGATTCTCCAACAACAGATCAGAGAATCACACAGACACACAGGTCCATAAGAAGCAGAGAGCAATGTCTTGGGTCTACAGCCTCAGTCCTGGGTCTACAGCCTGAGTCCTGGGTCTACAGCCTGAGTCCTGGGTCTACAGCCTGAGTCCTGGGTCTACAGCCTGAGTCCTGGGTCTACTGCCTCAGTCCTGGGTCTACAGCCTCAGTCCTGGGTCTACAGCCTCAGTCCTGGGTCTACAGCCTGAGTCCTGGGTCTACAGCCTCAGTCCTGGGTCTACAGCCTGAGTCCTGGGTCTACAGCCTCAGTCCTGGGTCTACAGCCTGAGTCCTGGGTCTACAGCCTGAGTCCTGGGTCTACAGCCTGAGTCCTGGGTCTACAGCCTGAGTCCTGGGTCTACAGCCTGAGTCCTGGGTCTACAGCCTGAGTCCTGGGTCTACAGCCTGAGTCCTGGGTCTACAGCCTGAGTCCTGGGTCTACAGCCTGAGTCCTGGGTCTACAGCCTGAGTCCTGGGTCTACAGCCTGAGTCCTGGGTCTACAGCCTGAGTCCTGGGTCTACAGCCTGAGTCCTGGGTCTACAGCCTGAGTCCTGGGTCTACAGCCTCAGTCCTGGGTCTACAGCCTCAGTCCTGGGTCTACAGCCTGAGTCCTGGGTCTACAGCCTGAGTCCTGGGTCTACAGCCTCAGTCCTGGGTCTACAGCCTCAGTCCTGGGTCTACAGCCTCAGTCCTGGGTCTACAGCCTCAGTCCTGGGTCTACAGCCTCAGTCCTGGGTCTACAGCCTCAGCCCTGGGTCTACAGCCTGAGTCCTGGGTCTACAGCCTCAGTCCTGGGTCCACAGCCTCAGTCCTGGGTCTACAGCCTCAGTCCTGGGTCTACAACCTCAGTCCTGGGTCTACAACCTCAGTCCTGGGTCTACAGCCTCAGTCCTGGGTCTACAGCCTCAGTCCTGGGTCTACAGCCTCAGTCCTGGGTCTACAGCCTCAGTCCTGGGTCTACAGCCTCAGTCCTGGGTCTACAGCCTCAGTCCTGGGTCTACAGCCTCAGTCCTGGGTCTACAGCCTCAGTCCTGGGTCTACAACCTCAGTCCTGGGTCTATAGCCTCAGTCCTGGGTCTACAGCCTCAGTCCTGGGTCTACAGCCTCAGTGCTGTGTCTACAGCCTCAGTCCTGGGTCTACAACCTCAGTCCTGGGTCTACAGCCTCAGTCCTAAATTCTATGGCCATCTGACATCACACTAGAAAATAGACCTACCTTCATATACTGTATATATATAAATACTGTATATAAATACTGTGTATATATATATATATATATATATAAACTTGAGAAAGGTCAATATTGGTTTGAATTCTGTTGTTATTTTTAGATTGAGATGTTTCCAACTGGACCGTTCTCCGTAACCGCATTGTGACCGTGGTCTTTCTGTTAAATCAGATTCCGACTCGGCTGCGATCGGATCAAATTGTCCTCAATATTCCGTGTTTGCTGCAGGCGCCTGTGGTTATAAAACGTTTTATTCCGGCGTCTTGTTTACCGCGCTGTAACTTTCTCTCCTTTCCATCTGTGTTTGCCCCAGGACAGTACACGGTGATGATGGCCCACTTCTACCTGAAGAGGAAGATTGGATATTTTGTCATCCAGACGTACATGCCCTGCTTCATGACCGTCATTCTCTCACAAGTGTCGTTTTGGCTCAACCGCGAGTCTGTCCCCGCCAGGACCGTGTTTGGTGAGAGAAACCCACCCCCACACACCCGCTCTCTCACCGTTTCTTTTGTTTGAAGAATACAATGTGGTTATATGAGAGAGAGACCAGAGAGAGAGAGAGACCAGAGAGAGAGAGAGAGGCCAGAGAGAGAGAGGCCATGAAAGAGAGAGGCCAGAGAGAGAGAGGCCATGAAAGAGAGAGGCCAGAGAGAGAGAGGCCAGAGAGAGAGGCCAGAGAGAGAGGCCAGAGAGAGAGGCCAGAGAGAGAGGCCAGAGAGAGAGGCCAGAGAGAGACCAAAGAGAGAGAGAGGCCATGAAAGAGAGAGGCCAGAGAGAGAGGCCAGAGAGAGAGGCCAGAGAGAGAGGCCAGAGAGAGACCAAAGAGAGAGAGAGGCCATGAAAGAGAGAGGCCAGAGAGAGAGAGGCCATGAAAGAGAGAGGCCAGAGAGAGAGAGGCCATGAAAGAGAGAGGCCAGAGAGAGAGAGGCCAGAGAGAGAGGCCAGAGAGAGAGGCCAGAGAGAGACCAAAGAGAGAGACCAAAGAGAGAGAGAGGCCATGAAAGAGAGAGGCCAGAGAGAGAGAGGCCATGAAAGAGAGAGGCCAGAGAGAGAGAGGCCAGAGAGAGAGGCCAGAGAGAGAGAGGCGAGAGAGAGGCCATGAAAGAGAGGCCAGAGAGAGAGGCCAGAGAGAGAGTCTAGAGAGAGAGAGAGGCCAGAGAGAGAGGCTAGAGAAAGAGAGACCAGAGAGAGGCCAGAGAGAGAGAGGCCAGAGAGAGAGAGAGAGGCGAGAGAGAGTCTAGAGAGAGCGAGAGGCCAGAGAGAGAGGCTAGAGAAAGAGAGACCAGAGAGAGAGGCTAGAGAAAGAGAGACCAGAGAGAGAGGCTAGAGAAAGAGAGACCAGAGAGAGACCAGCGAGAGCAGTGAGAGACCAGAGAGACCAGAGAGAGACCAGAGAGAGCAGTGAGGGACCAGGGAGCCTTTAAGTCTTTTTTCAAGAACTGTTGCTTTATTTTCTCATTCCAAGGGGGACATTTCTTGTATCTTTTAAAACAAGATATTTTTGCTTCGTCCCGTTGGAAAATCTAGTTTTAAAATATGAGATTTTTAAGTAATTGAATAAAGCCTTAGCCTTAAATACTTAGCTGCTAATTTCAGCGTCTAATCACAGCTTTATTATGAAATACATCACAATCATGAAGCAAAAGAGAAACTTCGATAATTAGAAAATGAAAAGTGAAAGTCCATTCCCTTCTGTCGTAACCGTGACTCTCCCAACCTCCAGGCGTGACCACCGTGTTGACCATGACCACCCTCAGCATCAGCGCCCGGAACTCTCTGCCTAAAGTGGCGTACGCGACGGCCATGGACTGGTTCATCGCCGTGTGCTATGCCTTTGTCTTCTCGGCGCTCATCGAGTTCGCCACCGTCAACTACTTCACCAAGAGGAGCTGGGCCTGGGACGGCAAGAAGGCTATGGAGGCGCAACACCCTAAGGTAGCACCAGGGGGCCACACAGATACACTACACCTACGCCTTACTGGGGTTCATATCAGTGGGGGCGGGTCCCGGGTCAAAAATGTCCAAAAGGACGTACGCTGACATGCTGCAATACCACCCCAGGCCTGTGGGGGGGGGGGGGTGGACCCGGCATAAGAATTAGCCAATGCTAATGTATTGCATCTTCTTACCCTTGAAAACGGCTTTACAGGATGGTCCAAAAGAGGTTCTTGGTCCAAAAGTAGTGCTCTTGATCCAAAAGTGGCTCTTGATCCAAAAGTGGCTCTTGGTCCAAAAGTGGCTCTTGGTCCAAAAGTGGCTCTTGGTCCAAAAGTGGCTCTTGGTCCAAAAGTGGCTCTTGGTCCAAAAGTGGCTCTTGGTCCAAAAGTGGCTCTTGGTCCAAAAGTGGCTCTTGGTCCAAAAGTGGCTCTTGGTCCAAAAGTGGCTCTTGGTCCAAAGGTTTGTTCCAGGGGAGTGTATTTTTTGGACCGGTCTAGTTTAGTCGCTGTGGACTTCAGAATGCACTTGTCAATGAACGGGGCAAGTGCAGCTAACACATGCGAAAATGCTTTTTTTCACCTTTTGCTGCCCCCGCGGCCATTTTGAAACTGCCCATAGACGCAAAAGTGACGTCACATTAGTTTAAACGGCGGAGATTAACTTGATTACATTCGTTAATATTTACAATCTATGGTTAATATGAGCCCAGTGTCTTCCCACGTGCATAAGAGGCTGGCGTGGCTAACAGCTGTTGTACTGTTAGCTTTATGACTCTGGTCTGTGAAAGGTGCTATATAAAAAAAGATTACTCACTACTTACTGTACATACTAACCTTCACCCGTTTCTTCCACAGAAACGCGACCCGATGGTGCTCTCCAAGAAACCCAACAACGCGTGCTCGGCGGGGGTCAACTACACCACCAACCTGACCAAAGACGTGCCAATCGCCACCATCTCCAACATGACGTCCGTCCATCTGCGCAGCTCCGACGGCCGCCTCCTCGACCCCAAGAAGACCTACAACAGCGTCAGCAAGATCGACAAGATGTCCCGGATAGTGTTCCCCGTGCTGTTCGGGACCTTCAACCTGGTCTACTGGGCCACCTACCTCAACAGGGAACCGTTGGTGAAGGGCGCCATCAACCCCACGTAACTCCAGCTCATGTTTTTATGTTTTCGAAGCGCTGGGTTGAAGAGGTTACGGCGAGAGTTACTTTTTAGATAGATGTGTCCAAGCTCGGAACTGTCAAGTCCATTGGATGAAAGATCCTGTTTGCACTTTGGGCTGTGTTCCCTTTGAAAAGCGGCGACAGGAGGGAATCCTGGTCCAGTTTTGAGTCTCTCTGGATTTGAACCACATCAGGAGCGACTCCAGGATTGTGGCTCCGGCTTCTGAAGTAAATCAAGTGTGAACACATCCTTACATTGCCTACAAAACTGCTTGAAAAACTTGCATTTTTTTTCTTCTTCTGCTGCGATTTGCATGACGCCATCTTGAGAAAACAACGGGAGCTACTTTGACTTTAATTGTGTTTGGTATGTCTGGTTTGGATCGACTCAAAATGCTTCGAAAACTGCAATATCTCATTCAAGAAAAGACAACCCAAGATCAGCACCTTGGAGAGCGACGACGGAGGAGTTCCTTGAGACTAATGCAGCGGTTCTTTCATAATTTAGTGTCGAATCTCGTTGGTACAAAAAAAACGTGAAAAGAAAAAAAAATCTCGCCTTTTTTCTCCTTCCTGCAGCGGCTGTGTCTTTGTACAGCTTTACTTGAACATTCAAAAAGGCCGCTGCTCCGGGCCTGATTTCCCCAAAGCTTTGCCAGTCAAAGCAGATCATTGTCTTGGTCTGGAACACGAAAAAGAGACAAAAAAGACGGTAAAGATAAAAATAACAAACGCGAGGAAGAACGATCGGAGAAACCCCTGGAATTCTCTCACTCTCAGACCACGTTGGCAGACTGCAGAGCGGGTACGAGGGGATTTAAAGGTCCGGTCCCTCGACTGGGAAAGTACTTTTAAGACGGTATTGAAAAGTAGTGCTTGAAATGGAACGCATGTCCTCGGTACGGGAAGCAGGAGCGACGTTTAGACGAGAAATGTGTGGATTCTGACGTTTTATTTTGCATTTTTGCTTGTGTACTTTCAAGTTTTAGATGATTTAAACATCCTTTAATCGTCCCACGGTCGGGGAAATTTCAGTGTTGCAATCGCCAGTTACAGAACAGTAGGAATGAGGAGCACGCAGCACAAGATGAATCAACAATAACTCGTTAATAACATAAAATAAAACTCTCTTTAGCATCATCGAGAAGAAAGTAAAAGGTCCTGGGTTTAGACAATGGCTGCATCTGCACAGGTTTCCTCCAAGTGCTCCGGTTTTCCCAACCACAGGAAACAGCTACAACAGCAGGACTAGGGTGAGACCTGCCCCTGACCGAGGTTCTAGTGCAGGCGTGTCAAACTCAGGCCCGGGGGCTAAATCCGGACCGTGAGACCGCTTCTAGTGGCCCCTGAAATGATTGTGTAACTTGCAGCATTGATGGTAATGGCCTACTATGGCATGTTATACTTCATTTTAAAGCCTATTGTCTCGGGAAAACAACCATATCTGTGAATCTGCTCTAAAATATTAACTAAAATGCAATTAGAAGGTATAGTTACTGATCAATCTGCAAATACACTTCTTCATATTTGGGCCGGCTGTGGTTGAATCCAAACCTAAAAGAAAATACAATTAATTAAGTTAAATAAAAACTTCTATCCCACTGTTGTAGTTCTGGCCCATGTTTTTATATGTCTTTACAGATAGTATAGTTGTGCATTGGCCAGAATCAAAACCTGTCAGAGTGATAACAACGCTGCTTCATGTATAGAAGAAAAACTTAACTTGTATTCATCCCAAAGTCGGGAAATCATGTCGTAAGTTTTTTAATCTGGCCTCGACCGGAATGAGTTTGACGCCTCTGGTCTCGTGGCGTCGGAGAGCTGGGTCTGACTGGTGACATCACAACGGTATACAATGAATTATGAGTATTTTTCTGCATCTACAAGGCAATGTGTCATTAGCACACCATTAGCATTAGCATTAGCATTAGCTTTAGCATTAGCATTAGTAGTATCTGCACTATTGGTCACAGCGATCACAAAGACTCAAACTCATTATAATCCTGCTTTTTACAGAGCGCTGCGAGACTTCTGACATTTTGGTGAAATTGGGCCGACGCTCTCCGGGGAATTGTGTAAATAGACTTTCTAGCCTTTTTTTCTTTTTTTCTGTGACACAAAAATATGTTTTGAAAAAGCCAAAAAAGGCCTCTTTCAACTCGCTTTAGCGTCCACATAACGGGGGATGTAATAGTACTCGGATACAGCCGGGATCAGGAGCAGAACTGGCGATCTTTGACTTTAGAATACTGTAGATCAAACTTTTTCCAATAGACGAAACACAGTCAACCCTTTAGAATGCTTCAGAAAGTATTTTAATAGTTTTATGGGTATTTAACCGTAAACCATTCATTATTTTCAAATTTCAATGTTGCTTTTCTGGCTTAAGCCCCTTGAACTGCCTTCTGTATGAGCTGTGCCATATCATTAAATGTGAATTGCCTTGCATTGCTGTTATACATCTTTAATGCACATTAATTCTAAATTAAAGGTGTATAACAGGTGTAGGCTTATAGCAAACTGAGTAAAATGTTCCTAGATACTGGTCGCTCCTGAGACCCCTGGGATCAAAAAGACTTTAAAGTATAAATTAGTGCATTGGCCAGAATCAAAACCTGTCAAAGTAATAAATCTCTAGCTTTAGCATAAAAAACAAGCAAGAGTTAAGTTTAAAATCTCTGACTTCAGCATAAGAACAAGTCTGAATATTCTAGTCCAGACATGTCCAAACTAGGGCCCGCGAGCCAATTGCGGCCCTCTGTGTCATGCCATGTGGCCCTCTACCTTAATAAAACATAGTATTTGTGTATCACAAACACAAAATCCCAGTGTCATCCAGCCAACTTCTCCTTCGACTATAGACAGTTTTAGACTCAGAACCTGTAGAATTCAGCCGTTGATTTGGAGACTGACATTTTACTATGTTTTTGTTGTTGTAGCACTAATGTAGCTAGTGTTGCTCGTTCTTTAGACCTGTCGGAGCTCATTCTTAAACTCATAATCCAGGTTGCCGGCCCCTGGACTAAAATGGCCCCGATACTAAAATGTTTGGACACAAATGTTGTGTGTTTACATCTGTACATGAACAGCACGAGTCTCTGGGACACAGTGACACATGTGGATCTATTCTACACATTATGACATTATAACATAAAACTCTACTTTCAAAAGGCCATTGGAATCCGCAGGCCGTATGGAAATGCCACATTGGATTCGCCCGACGCACTATTTTAACTAAAAAGACCCACATTGTCTCCGATAAGCGTCCTATGAGAAAACAAAGTGGGGATCTGTCCGTGGTGCTGAATGCGTTTTTTCGGAGCCTATAGAGTCTGCTGTAATGGAGGATTATTCTGGTCTGATTTCTGGACCTGGAGTCTAGACCCGGGAGTTCTCAGCCTCCTACAGACGCAACACTAGACTAGACAACCCTAGACTTACAGAATATGTGTGTAACAGATAGATAAAGTAGCAGTGTTTTTAAAGGGCAGGAATATTTAGATTAGATTCAGGGTCTTAAAGCAAACATAACTGGACCTGTGTTAGCTCATTGACTGCAGTCCTTTTTGATGATTTCACTGATTTTCAAGACCCACAGAATATTGTGTGCTTTGACTATGTGAAATATGAAACCAGATTCTGAAAGACTGGACTGTTTACTTTCAGCAGCAAAAATAAGTTGGTTTCTTGCTAGTTTTGTTCTCCATATTTGAACCCCAAAAAGAAGAGACACTTTATCAACATGACAATATTAACGACTATACTCTGGGTTTGGGCAATAACTAAACCCACGCTGGAAAAGTGTTTTGTTTTGGCTGTAAATACAAACAAAAATCTACTCAGGAAATACTCGACGTGGCCCGTGCTAAAAGTCTGTAAAATGGATTTTTGTCTCTGGTTTTAAGGATTTTAAAAGTACTTCTTGCTGCAGGGAGATATTTTTCTGCTGACGACTTAGACAAAGAGCTGCTACTGTTTTGGTGAAGTGTGAGAAGCTAACACCTGCTAGCATAACACCAGTTGCGTTGTGTTGCGTTTTTGCAAATTTGACACAATTCAACAAATCTGCTGCGTATTGTGAAGCTTGTGGTTTTCTATCTACACTGCGAAAAAAGTAAAAAACGGCTCATATTGGTACAATTTATCTTAATTTATCTCTCTGGTTTCTCTCTCGACTCTCTCTGGTCTCTCCCTCTGGTATTTTTCTCCGGTGTCCCTCTGGTCCTTCACTTGTCTTTCTCTGGTCTCTCTCTAGTCTCTCGCTAATTTCTCTCTGGTCTCTCTATGGTCTCTCTCTGGTTTCTCTCTGGTCTCTCTATGGTCTCTCTCTGGTCTCTCTCGCTGGTCTCTCTCGCTGGTCTCTCTCGCTGGTCTTTCTCGCTGGTTTCTTGCTGGTCTCTCTATGGTCTCTCTCTGGTTTCTCTCTCTCTGGTCTCTTTCGCTGGCCTTTTTCTCTAGTCTCTCTCTTGTCTCTCTCTCTGGTCTCTCTCGCTGGTCTTTCTCGCTGGTCTCTTGCTGGTCTATCTCTGGTCTCTCTCTGGTCTCTTTCATCTCTGGTCTTGCTCTCCAGTGTCTCTCTGTTCTCTCTTTCTAGTCTCTCTGTTCTCTCTCTGGTCTCTCTCTTGTCCCTTTCTTGGGACACTAGATTCAAGACTTTATTTCCTCAAAATGATCATTTTTTGCAGTGAAAGAAGCAGAAGCAGATTCATGCCTTAGTGTGTATGTTTGTGTGTGTGTGTACGTGCATGTGTGTGCGCGCGTGTGTTTGTGCGTGCGTGTGTGTGTGTGTGTCTGTGTGTTTGTGTGTGCGTGCGTGCGTGTATGTGTTAGTGTGTGTGTGCGTGTATGTGTGTGCGCGTGTCTGTGTGTGCGTGCGTGTACGTGTTAGTGTGTATGTTTGTGTGTGTGTGTACGTGTTAGTGTGTGCGTGCATGTGTGTGCGCGCGTGTGTTTGCGCGTGCGTGCGTGTGTGTGTGTGTGTGTGTCTGTGTGAGTGTGTGGCGTCGTCGTGGCAGCAGCTTTTTGCAATGCCTTTAGTTTTCCTCGGCTTGTGCGGTGTTCCGTGTCTAATGTCCATTCGTCTGTACTTTTCTGGGTAATGATTATGGCGAAAGAAAACAGCAGGAAGCAGAACGGAACCTTGTAATGTATCAAGTTTACATGTTCACCGGAAAACACACAAAAACACACACAAAGTGAATGTAGCAGAAGCAGAGAAACAGCTGCCCTTCAGACTGGTCACTTTTCCGGAGAGAAGTGACAAAGAGTTTAGAGACCAAGAGGCAAAACTCTGCTAGATGCCGCATTTGCCATTTTGGACTGAACCAGAGACTGTTACCATGGCGACATAACATCTACAGCATTAACGTTACGTCTGAAAATACATGGAAACAACAATGGCATCAACTGCAGCCAAAGTACAATTAGAAGTTTATAGATTCAACGAAGATCCAGAGGTGTGTGTCATAACAGTAGCTTTGTATTTGTTATTGAAGGGAACTAGCTAACGTCAATTAAGTATAGCCTCTTGGGTCTTCTACACTCTTTGATTCTATTGCGTTCAGCCTCTTGGTTCCTCCACACTCTTTGGTAGTGCCGGTGGGTCTAGATTGGTGAATGTTATGTATTTTATGATTCCAATCTGGGACCAAGTCTCCTGCTTCGCTCGTCCATCTGTTAAAGAAAGGATTAAGTTGCTTCACGGGCAGCGGCGCACACAGAGCTGTAGAACTTGCTAGATAGAACTCGCTCTGGCGGCCATCTTACGTATTGCTTATTATTCTGATAATGTCTTTGTAAGAATGTAGATTTAAAAAATTAAAAAAACTGGGGTCATCGTTCTAACATTTCATACTTGAATAGCCACGTATTAGAGGAATATTGTTATTCATTGTTTTATATTATTATTATTTATTATTATCTATTTGTCTTTCAATACTCAATATGGAAACGACTGTGGTTCATAAAAGATGCCAAATGTTTGGTAGAAAACAGGAAATAAGTAAAAAACAAAAAATACCAGTTATCAAAATATTTATTTTGTTATCACTACTATTCAAGTAAAGGTAAAGGTGCACTTTATTAATCCCCGTAGGGCAGTTCATCCTCTGCATTTGACCCATCCTGATGCTGCTAAGGCTGACGTCAGGAGCAGTGGTCGCCGTGGTAACAGCGCCCGGGAACCCATCTCCAGATGTTGATGCTCGGCTTGGTCACGACCAGAGCTGGAGGATTTAACCTAGTGAGCATGTTTTTAGTGGTAGAGGAAACCAGAGCACCTGGAGGAAATCTACGCAGGCACGGGGAGAACATGCAAACTCCACTCAGAAAGGCCCTGTTCTGACCGGGATTCAAACCCAGGACCTTCTTGCTGAGAGGCGAGAGTACTAACCACTCAGCCACCATCCCACCCTAATTATTAATATTAAAAATAGAGCTAGAAAAGGGTAAATTGAAAACTGGCCTATTTTGTTATTTTTGTAAGAATTTAATATGTGTTTTCTTACACTAGAAAACACATACTACTCAAAAGAAACATGTATGACCTGAGGTAATGTAAAAAACAAAGTTAAAATCACAATATGTAAGAAAGGATCACATTTAAACCTGGGGTCCCTACGTTTAAAACTACAAACAATAGTTTATGTCTTTAAACTAGTTCCTGGATTTAAAACCTCAACCCATTTGTAAAAAAAACATTTCTGTTCTATGTTAGCTTTACCTCTCGCTTTAACAGTAGCGCCAAGTCAAATGGTAACACCAAACACCAGACTTGGAGATTCTTGTCCATGCATTTGTCTCCAGTAGGTTAGACTACTGCAATGGCCTGCTTACAGGTCTGTCCAAACAGACCTGTAAGCAGCTGCAGTACATCCAAAATGCAGCAGCTCGAGTCCTGACAAGAACCAGGAAGTACGACCACATTAGTCCGGTCCTCAGGTCTCTGCACTGGCTTCCTGTGGCTCAAAGAATAGATTTTAAAACGGCTCTGCTTGTGTACAAGTCTCTCCATGGCCTTGCACCAGAATACATTAGTGACATGTTGGTGTCATATGAACCGGCCCGGACTCTGAGGAGCACAGGGACTGGCCTCCTGCTGGTGCCCAGAGTGAGAACCAAACATGGGGAGGCTGCGTTTCAGATCCATGCAGCTAAGATCTGGAACAATCTCCCTGAAAATGTGAGGGAGGCGTCTACTCTGTCAATGTTCAAATCCAGGTTAAAGACTGTTCTGTTTGCCTGTGCATACAACTGAAGGATTTTATCTCCATTTTTAATGCACTGCTGTCATTTATTTATTTTTTTTAAATTTCTTGTGTAATTTTGAAAGTTTTAATGGTTTTATTCTTTTGTGTGATTTTAATGTTTTAATTGTGTTTTAATCTTTTGTGTGATTTTAATGTTTTAATTGTGATTCTGGTGTTTGTTTTATGTGATGATTTGTGATGTGGACTGTGAAGCGCTTTGTGTTGCCATGTGTATGAAAGGCGCTCTACAAATAAACTTTGATTGATTGATTGATTGATATGGCCGCCGGACCCCTGGACGCGTGTTACTGCAGGTTACCATGGCGATGCTCTCTCTAGTTCACCCATGACAGCCCCCTCCCCTCTGGTGGTTAAGCCTCCAGACTGATGACAAATGCCCGTGAATGTAGGAGCGGCGTCTGGACATCTGCGGATTTCTGCGCGGGACAAATTCAGGATTGATCACAAGTACTTTGGCCTGAGCTCACACCGCCTCTGCATTTACGAGTGGCGTTTTTACACACTTTTAATGAAGACACACGCGCGCTACTAACACATCATGCCGTTTTATATTGAAGTGTATATATGTGTGTGTGTTAACGCTAAAGGTAACGGGAAAGCCATTTACAAACAAGCTAATACTGCAGTTCATCAAAATTCAGCCTTTTTGTGAAACTTTTTATGATCCTGAACCAAAAGGGTGAGTTCCATAGTGCCTCCAAGTTATCTGTCATCTGTTTTAGGATCAGTGCATCGGTTCTAGTTTTTTCATGTTTTATTCACTTTTGTTGTTTTTTAATGTGGTAAAGCAAAATGGCGGATGGAATGAGTGGATAGTAAAATATTCTGGTGCAATCCAAATATCAAGAAACTGAAGCCGGAGCAAGAAAAATGTTTAGTGAAAAGATTTTAGTAAATGTCATTGCTGCAAAGGTGATGACTAAAGCTAGGCTAAATGCTAAAGCTAGGTTAAATGCTAAAGCTAGGCTACATGCCTCACTCACTACGTAAAAATTCCACAACAGCTCTAGATGCACATCATCTAGGCTCTGACACAGGTGCGAGAGACGGGAGAGACGCAAAGAGCGAGAGAGAGACGCAAAGAGTGAGAGAGAGACGCAAGGAGTGAGAGATGCGAGGAGAGAAAGGGAGAGACGCTAGGAGAGAGAAACACAAGGAACACAAACAAGTTGCAGAACTCTTGAGCAGTGTTAAATCTGTGTTTTTTGGGGAAGCACATTTATGCAGCTGTCTGATACATTTCCAACATAAAACACAGACTGACAGACTCCGCCCCCGCGGCCGGTCTAACCTCGTCAGTCCAGCGGGGGTCTTGTCTATATCACTTCTTGCTTTGATTCAAAGTCCAGTTGAGAAACAAATCCTCAATCCAATCATCCATTTTCCAGCAAAAGAAATAGCACCGTCAGGACTGATAGTTGTTAGCAAAATATTTACAGTCTGTGTTAGCATCTTGGGTAGAACTTGATGCTCACTATCACCCCTAGTGGTGAGGCACAGACACTGCCTGCCTCACGCCACGCTTTTTCCTTGTGTTTTCTTCTCCGATCAAAAGACTTGAAATAATTATAGATAGTACACACATACGTGCAATACATTACTAAACACTATGACAAGTTTAACAAATGTTTTCAAAGCAGGATGAGGCACAGTCCACTGTGAGGGAGAGGTTTGGGGGAGGCACAGTCCACTGTGAGGGAGAGGTCTGGGGGAGGCACAGTCCACTGTGAGGGAGAGGTCTGGGGGAGGCACAGTCCACTGTGAGGGAGAGGTTTGGGGGAGGCACAGTCCACTGTGAGGGAGAGGTCTGGGGGAGGCACAGTCCACTGTGAGGGAGAGGTCTGGGGGAGGCACAGTCCACTGTGAGGGAGAGGTCTGGGGGAGGCACAGTCCACTGTGAGGGAGAGGTCTGGGGGAGGCACAGTCCACTGTGAGGGAGAGGTCTGGGGGAGGCACAGTCCACAGTGAGGGAGAGGTCTGGGGGAGGCACAGTCCACAGTGAGGGAGAGGTCTGGGGGAGGCACAGTCCACTGTGAGGGAGAGGTCTGGATGAGGCACAGTCCACAGTGAGGGAGAGGTCTGGGGGAGGCACAGTCCACTGTGAGGAGAGGTCTGGATGAGGCACAGTCCACAGTGAGGGAGAGGTCTGGGTGAGGCACAGTCCACAGTGAGGGAGAGGTCTGGGTGAGGCACAGTCCACTGTGAGGGAGAGGTCTGGGGGAGGCACAGTCCACAGTGAGGGAGAGGTCTGGGGGAGGCACAGTCCACAGTGAGGGAGAGGTCTGGGGGAGGCACAGTCCACAGTGAGGGAGAGGTCTGGGGGAGGCACAGTCCACAGTGAGGGAGAGGTCTGGGGGAGGCACAGTCCACAGTGAGGGAGAGGTCTGGGTGAGGCACAGTCCACTGTGAGGGAGAGGTCTGGGTGAGGCACAGTCCACAGTGAGGGAGAGGTCTGGATGAGGCACAGTCCACAGTGAGGGAGAGGTCTGGGGGAGGCACAGTCCACAGTGAGGGAGAGGTCTGGGGGAGGCACAGTCCACTGTGAGGGAGAGGTCTGAGGCACAGTCCACAGTGAGGGAGAGGTCTGGGGGAGGCACAGTCCACAGTGAGGGAGAGGTCTGGGGGAGGCACAGTCCACAGTGAGGGAGAGGTCTGGGGGAGGCACAGTCCACTGTGAGGGAGAGGTCTGGGTGAGGCACAGTCCACAGTGAGGGAGAGGTCTGGGGGAGGCACAGTCCACAGTGAGGGAGAGGTCTGGGGGAGGCACAGTCCACAGTGAGGGAGAGGTCTGGGTGAGGCACAGTCCACAGTGAGGGAGAGGTCTGGGGGAGGCACAGTCCACTGTGAGGGAGAGGTCTGGGGGAGGCACAGTCCACTGTGAGGGAGAGGTCTGGGGGAGGCACAGTCCACTGTGAGGGAGAGGTCTGGGGGAGGCACAGTCCACTGTGAGGGAGAGGTCTGGGGTGAGGCACAGTCCACAGTGAGGGAGAGGTCTGGGGGAGGCACAGTCCACAGTGAGGGAGAGGTCTGGGGGAGGCACAGTCCACTGTGAGGGAGAGGTCTGGGGGAGGCACAGTCCACTGTGAGGGAGAGGTCTGGGGGAGGCACAGTCCACTGTGAGGGAGAGGTCTGGGGGAGGCACAGTCCACAGTGAGGGAGAGGTCTGGGGGAGGCACAGTCCACTGTGAGGGAGAGGTCTGGGGGAGGCACAGTCCACAGTGAGGGAGAGGTCTGGGGGAGGCACAGTCCACTGTGAGGGAGAGGTCTGGGGGAGGCACAGTCCACAGTGAGGGAGAGGTCTGGGGGAGGCACAGTCCACAGTGAGGGAGAGGTCTGGGGGAGGCACAGTCCACTGTGAGGGAGAGGTCTGGGGGAGGCACAGTCCACAGTGAGGGAGAGGTCTGGGTGAGGCACAGTCCACTGTGAGGGAGAGGTCTGGGGGAGGCACAGTCCACTGTGAGGGAGAGGTCTGGATGAGGGCACAGTCCACAGTGAGGGAGAGGTCTGGGGGAGGCACAGTCCACTGTGAGGGAGAGGTCTGGGTGAGGCACAGTCCACAGTGAGGGAGAGGTCTGGGGGAGGCACAGTCCACTGTGAGGGAGAGGTCTGAGGCACAGTCCACTGTGAGGGAGAGGTCTGGGGGAGGCACAGTCCACAGTGAGGGAGAGGTCTGGGGGAGGCACAGTCCACTGTGAGGGAGAGGTCTGGGGGAGGCACAGTCCACTGTGAGGGAGAGGTCTGGGGGAGGCACAGTCCACAGTGAGGGAGAGGTCTGGGGGAGGCACAGTCCACAGTGAGGGAGAGGTCTGGGGGAGGCACAGTCCACAGTGAGGGGAGAGGTCTGGGGGAGGCACAGTCCACAGTGAGGGAGAGGTCTGGGTGAGGCACAGTCCACTGTGAGGGAGAGGTCTGGGGGAGGCACAGTCCACAGTGAGGGAGAGGTCTGGGGGAGGCACAGTCCACAGTGAGGGAGAGGTCTGGGGGAGGCACAGTCCACAGTGAGGGAGAGGTCTGGGGGAGGCACAGTCCACTGTGAGGGAGAGGTCTGGGGGAGGCACAGTCCACAGTGAGGGAGAGGTCTGGGGGAGGCACAGTCCACTGTGAGGGAGAGGTCTGGGGGAGGCACAGTCCACAGTGAGGGAGAGGTCTGGGTGAGGCACAGTCCACAGTGAGGGAGAGGTCTGGGGGAGGCACAGTCCACAGTGAGGGAGAGGTCTGGGGGAGGCACAGTCCACTGTGAGGGAGAGTCGGGGGGAGGCACAGTCCACTGTGAGGGAGAGGTCTGGGGGAGGCACAGTCCACTGTGAGGGAGAGGTCTGGGGGAGGCACAGTCCACTGTGAGGGAGAGGTCTGGGGGAGGCACAGTCCACTGTGAGGGAGAGGTCTGGGGGAGGCACAGTCCACTGTGAGGGAGAGGTCTGGGGGAGGCACAGTCCACTGTGAGGGAGAGGTCTGGGGGAGGCAGGAGCGCTGCCTCACCTCGTCTCTTTGAATAGGAGAAATAGAATTTCAGAAATTTTGACTCCTAAAATGATCCAAACTGGTCAGAACGATGCCGGAAATACATTAAAAGCACAGGGCAGTGCAAAACCATGATATATTTCAACAAAAATAATAATTATTTTTTCAATGATGGCAGGGGAGGCGTCTCACTGATGGTGCGGTAAGACCAGGCTAGCACTCATCAGTATCGACCAATGTGTTTATGAAAGCTGTTGTAAAGTAGCAGAGCAGGACGGCCCGCATGAGTCTGGTTGGTCCTCGCTTCGTGGTTGCCATTCGCTCATTTCCTGTGTTGCCATTCGCTCATTTCCTGTTTCTAGACTAAGATCTTTACGGTTCTGTTCTCTCTGTATCGTACTGTTTTATGTAAATGACCAACTTTAAAAAATAAAAATTCTGAGCTAACAAGGTTTGTGAGTTTGTTACCGTGACAACAATCCAAATCTGGGTTTTTGGTGTTTGTTTTTTGGAGCAGATTTTGATGCATTCTGCGCCTTTTCTCAGTCGTTGAAATCTCATGTTGTGTTTTCAGAGTCTTTCAGAGCCAGATTATGATAAATGTTGGTTCTTCTCACTCGTTTGTTTAATGAACGACACTGAGATTCTCCAGACGACAGTTCGCAGAATAACAAATACTTTAAAAAAAAAAGAGCAGAAAAATACTAGATTTTGTGAAAATCAGAGAAAACTGTATTATTATATATAATATAATTATATATATATATATATATATATATATATATATATATATATAATATATATATATATATATATATATAATACGTGTATATGGGCTTGTTCACACTAAAGGGCACAAAAGTGTGACAAAAGGCCAAAAATTAGATTTTCAATAAGAAGATATTTAATGTTTTTCATGTTTCCAAACACCTCTGTTCTTTAGAAGTTTCTAAAACATAACTGTTTTATACATTAGACAAGTTTCCTGCAGCGCCCTGTTTATTTTATGTCACGGACGATGATTTGACGGAATGAGCTGCGGAAGTTTGATGGTATTTTCAGATCCACATTTGATTCAGAGATTCTACTTTTTTACACAAAGTAGAAACAAAGTGATACTTTCTTATTGTCAACCAATTAAATGTGAAAACAGACCAGATTTTTATTTTTCTCAAGTTTAATTTTTAGAAAAAAGAGGACCGTCCTCATCACGTCCGTTATACATATCAGGTGTGATTTAATTAATTAATTAATTTTTATGTGAAGTGATTTCCTTCTGTTGTGTTAATGTAAATCTGTGGGAGTTCATCTTCTGCTTTTTCAGACTGAGGACATTTTATTTTCTATGTAACTGCGTCACAGTAGAATGGTCCAATCAGAGGCTCATTTGGTCGTTTAAAATGCTGCTAAACATTTTTATGTCAATCTTTCCTTTTGATTTTTTACACACTATTTCTTCAATGTGTCTGTGTTTGAAATATTTTTTCCAATCTATGAAAGTAATTTTAGTTTTTAAGTTATAACCTTTTAAAGTCCAGATACTTCAATTGTCACTTTACTGTGAACACACTCATATATACGTGTGTGTAACCTGTATAAAGTGAACTGCTGTGATTCTAGGATTCTTCAGGAGGAAGGGAGGATTCATAAATTTAGACCACAAATGTTTAGTATTTAGGGCGACAGTAGCTCAGTTGGTAGAGCATTGGCCTTTGAGCCTGAAGGTCGTGGGTTCGAGCCCACCGTAAGACCTACTTCACGACTCCCACTGATGACTGCTGTCGTTGTGTCCTTGGGCAAGACATTTAACCCCACTTTGCCTGAAGCTCCCACTGAAAGATCTCAGCTCCTGTGGACTCAGCTCCTGCAGGAGGATCAGTGAGGGGCTGGTGCTCTGTGTACCCCCCGACCCAGAAATGGATTAAGGGGAAGAGGATGGATGTTTAGTATGAAAAGTTAACAAAAGCCGGCGTTTATTTCTGAAACACAAATGTACCTTGACGTAATGTTTATCAGTCCCTTTGGATGAACCAAAAAGGGAAAGTTCAGAGCTCTGACAAAAAAATAGTTTTCATCTACCTGGGTAGTTTGATTTTACTGTTGTTGAACGTGCACGAAGTCTTAGCCATTCTGCTTTCGATGAAGGCCAAGGTGGATGAACGGAGACGGTGCTCGTTACAAACTCCGTGACACCGGCCAAACACCAAACAGTCCAGGTCTTAAAAAACCAACCTGTACAAGCAGGATAACATTAATATAATTCTCTCATAATCGATATTTATATAGATGAGTTTTATCTAATCTCCAACTACAACTAATCACAGACTGTAGCTTTTACACAGCATTCAAAAGTAACATTGTACATTTTAATGTAAAACCTTCTTATAATCATGTTTCTGTAAATAGTTCTCATCTGTAAATAGTTTCACATTTTCTCCCATTGGTTTTTAAAGAAATAATCACGATATCATGTCAAAAGAAAATGCAGTGTCATGAACTAGCTTAGCATAGACTAGCTTAGCTTAGCAACAGACTCACTGGAGATCAAGAACACACAAACTCGGAATAATCCATGTCTCCAGAACCTCTTACTGTTTTTATCAACTCTAAACCCAAAACAAGTTAATCACACATTTCAGAAGTATTTTAAACACTTTTGTACATCGTTTTTTCTTACATGTCCAACGTCTCACAAGATGGCGGAGCATTCACAGTAAAACAGCGCCCTCTAATGGACGGAGGCGGAAACACTCCTTTTACTGAACATTTAAAGGAACAGTATCATAAAAAAACATGTAGTATCTGTAGTATGTGGGTTACATCTACATATACTGGATCATTTCACCTTTTCCTACTGTGTCTCTGGTTGTGAAAGCTGCTGCAGAGTGTTCTCCAGAGACTTAGATCCTTTTGAAGACTCGGCCTCAGTCTCAGTCTCAGATAATGATCCAGTTGTTTCCAGGTTTGATGCAGCAGCGTCTGATTCAAAGAAGATTCATGTTTCACCAAAAACATCAAAGACACCGCAGACGTACAGTTTGTTCACAGTCTCTACTGCAGCAGTCCTGGGTCTACAGCCTCAGTCCTGGGTCTACAGCCTCAGTCCTGGGTCTACAGCCTCAGTCCTGGATCTACAGCCTCAGTCCTGGATCTACAGCTTCAGTCCTGGGTCTACAGCCTCAGTCCTGGGTCTACAGCCTCAGTCCTGGGTCTACAGCCTCAGTCCTGGGTCTACAGCCTCAGTCCTGGATCTACAGCTTCAGTCCTGGGTCTACAGCCTCAGTCCTGGGTCTACAGCCTCAGAGCCTCCTGGATCTACCGCCTCAGTCCTGGGTCTACAGCCTCAGTCCTGGGTCTACAGCCTCAGTCCTGGGTCTACAGCCTCAGTCCTGGGTCTACAGTCTCAGTCCTGGGTCTACAGCCTCAGTCCTGGGTCTACAGCCTCAGTCCTGGATCTAAAGCCTCAGTCCTGGATCTACAACCTCAGTCCTGGGTCTACAGCCTCAGTCCTGGATCTACAGCCTCAGTCCTGGGTCTACAGCCTCAGTCCTGGGTCTACAGCCTCAGTCCTGGGTCTACAGCCTCAGTCCTGGATCTACAGCCTCAGTCCTGGGTCTACAGCCTCAGTCCTGCGGATCTACAGCCTCAGTCCTGGATCTACCGCCTCAGTCCTGGATCTAAAGCCTCAGTCCTGGAGCTACAGCCTCAGTCCTGGAGCTACAACCTCAGTCCTGGAGCTACAGCCTCAGTCCTGGGTCTACAGCCTCAGTCCTGGGTCTACAGCCTCAGTCCTGGGTCTACAGCCTCAGTCCTGGATCTAAAGCCTCAGTCCTGGATCTACAACCTCAGTCCTGGAGCTACAGCCTCAGTCCTGGGTCTACAGCCTCAGTCCTGGGTCTATGCCTCAGCCCTGGATCTACAGCCTCAGTCCTGGGTCTACAGCCTCAGTCCTGGGTCTACAGCCTCAGTCCTGGATCTACAGCCTCAGTCCTGGGTCTACAGCCTCAGTCCTGGGTCTACAGCCTCAGTCCTGGGTCTACAGCCTCAGTCCTGGGTCTATAGCCTCAGTCCTGGATCTACAGCCTCAGTCCTGGATCTACAGCTTCAGTCCTGGGTCTACAGCCTCAGTCCTGGGTCTACAGCCTCAGTCCTGGATCTACAGCTTCAGTCCTGGGTCTACAGCCTCAGTCCTGGGTCTACAGCCTCAGAGCCTCCTGGATCTACCGCCTCAGTCCTGGGTCTACAGCCTCAGTCCTGGGTCTACAGCCTCAGTCCTGGATCTAAAGCCTCAGTCCTGGATCTACAACCTCAGTCCTGGGTCTACAGCCTCAGTCCTGGATCTACAGCCTCAGTCCTGGGTCTACAGCCTCAGTCCTGGGTCTACAGCCTCAGTCCTGGGTCTACAGCCTCAGTCCTGGATCTACAGCCTCAGTCCTGGGTCTACAGCCTCAGTCCTGCGGATCTACAGCCTCAGTCCTGGATCTACCGCCTCAGTCCTGGATCTAAAGCCTCAGTCCTGGAGCTACAGCCTCAGTCCTGGATCTACAACCTCAGTCCTGGAGCTACAGCCTCAGTCCTGGGTCTACAGCCTCAGTCCTGGGTCTACAGCCTCAGTCCTGGGTCTACAGCCTCAGTCCTGGATCTAAAGCCTCAGTCCTGGATCTACAACCTCAGTCCTGGAGCTACAGCCTCAGTCCTGGGTCTACAGCCTCAGTCCTGGGTCTATGCCTCAGCCCTGGATCTACAGCCTCAGTCCTGGGTCTACAGCCTCAGTCCTGGGTCTACAGCCTCAGTCCTGGATCTACAGCCTCAGTCCTGGGTCTACAGCCTCAGTCCTGGATCTACAGCCTCAGTCCTGGGTCTACAGCCTCAGTCCTGGGTCTTTAAACTAAAACAGGTTTGAAAAAGGGGTTGGATGAAGCGGACTCCCCTCCCTCCTTTCAACACACACAATCCTCCACAGAGAACAACACAACGTACACAATCCAGGTGTGATCCAGTGCGGTGCAGTCATATACAACACACTTCCATCTGCCACCGGGGATTAAATAACGCCGCCATAGGGAAAACAAATATTGCATAACAAATATATTAGCACTGACTGACACCAGGTTCACTGACACTGGTGTCTCTTCTGGTCTCTCTCTCTCTCTGGTTTGTTGGTTCGTTTTTGTATTATTTGTCTGTATTTTTATCTTAAATTGAACCCAGAGTCAGTTATAAAGTTTAATTAAAATGGATAGAGTTGATACGGCGACAACATAAGTTCAGGTTTGTAAAGCTTTAACATTGAAATAAATACAGTTTAAATACAGTTTTTGGTCTTTTCCAAACGCCTTGTTAGTTCACAACACAAAGCAGGGGTTGTTATACTTATGTAGAATGTGTAAATCTATAAAATTATTAAAGCATTTCTTAACAACGCTTGTAAAAAACGCTTTAGTGAAAACACAGGCGCTAGTACCCGCCATGTCCAGCAGAGGGCGGTGATGTCTCTTCATTATTGATGCTTTCCTCCTGTTGCTGGGACCAGATGTCACGTTTTTAACCACTGCCTTTTACCTGCACGACCTTATTGTTTTTTTACGTCTTTACGCACGACTGCAGCCTGCGTGACGTATGCCCGCGTGCCTTCGCCAAAGCCCTCATTAACCTTTTAACATTCAGCCCAAACAAACCTAACCTTTGTCTCATTCATTCCCTGCGCGTTTACTTTCACCTCCTGTGTTTGTAGAGACCAAAAACAAAATTTAAAAACTGTTATTTATAATCAAACACAATCAACGTTCAGCCAATCAGATCCAGCACGCCACGACCACGTGACCTCAGTCTCCTAAATAGACTGCGCGCTGTCAATGGTGCGAACATGGAGAAAAACTTAGGGAGAGAGATACCAGAGAGACTGACCGGAAGGAGACCAGAGACAGAGACCAGAGAGAGAGACCAGAGAGAGAGACCAGAGAGAGGGACCAGAGCGAGACCATGAGAGACCAGAGAGAGAGACCGGAAGGAGACGAGAGACAGAGACCAGAGAGAGACTAGAGAGGGAGAGAGAGAGAGACCATGAGAGAGACCAGAGAGAGACTAGAGAGAGACCAGAGAGATACCAGAGAGAGAGACCAGAGAGAGACCAGAGAGAGACTAGAGAGAGAGACTATAGAGAGAGACCAGAGAGAGACTAGAGAGAGACCAGAGAGAGACACCAGAGAGAGAGACTATAGAGAGAGACCATGAGAGACCAGAGAGAGACTAGAGAGAGACCAGAGAGAGAGACCAGAGAGAGACTATAGAGAGAGACCATGAGAGACCAGAGAGAGACCAGAGAGAGACTATAGAGAGAGACCATGAGAGACTAGAGAGAGACCAGAGAGAGAGACCAGAGAGAGACTATAGAGAGAGACCATGAGAGACCAGAGAGAGACTAGAGACAGAAAAAGAAAATGTATTTTATTTATCAATTAAAACATTGATCTCAAGAAAGTGAGACGTCATTCATATAGATCAATATTAAAAACTTATATATTGGTTATTATTATAGTGATGGGGACTTTTGAAATAGTGACAGTGAACTAAACTGCATTAAAGCCAGGGCTACGTAACTTTCAAAACACATACAACAGACCACCCACATTCAGCCAATCAGCTCCCAGCTCAACGCTCAATTAGTGCGTCACGTGGGTCGTTTTTTACAAATGTACACAAGCTAAACATGGTGAAAGTTGGGTACCCCAGCTTTAAAATGTTACTGTAACTCAAAACGCATGGGCGTCTAAAAAATACATATATTATTATTATTATTATTATTATTATTATTAGTACCGTCAAAGTACTTGGATCTTAATTGGTTTCTTCCCAGACTAATGCAAACTTTATGAAGTCCCCCGCGCGCGAGCCTCACGTTTGGCATGTGACATCACTACACAAATCCATGGCTTTAGTTTCTCCAGGTGCTGCTGCTGCTGCTGCTGCTGCTGCTGCTGCTGCTGCTGCGTGACTCAGAGACGATTCTCCAAAAACCAGCAGCAGCAGCGTCACTAACAAACCTTTCATCCTTTTTTAAAGAGAGAGAGTGAGAGGGGGGAGAGGGGGGAATGGGGAAGAGAGAAAAAGGGGGAAGAGTGAGAGAGAGGGTGAGAGAGAGATGGGGGAGAGAGAGAGAGTGAGGGGGAGAGAAAGAGAGTGAGAGAAGAGAGAGGGAGAGAGAGGGGGAGAGAGAGAACAGAGAGAGGAGGGGGTGTGCGCAGGGGGGAGAGAGAGAGAGAGAGAGAGGAGGAGAGAGGGAAGGCTCGGTTCGACTTGTCTCTCATTGATTCTGCAGCTTCCCGCGGATAACATCTCGGAGTGTACTCCTGGTCTGGACGCACATGGTCTGTCCTCTGGTCTGGACGCACATGGTCTGTCCTCTGGTCTGGACGCACATGGTCTGTCCCCTGGTCTGGACGCACATGACCCGCGCCGTGGAAGAGGCGGCAGCGGCAGAGCGCGTGGGTGGATGAGGAAACTTCCCCCGCCGTCTCCCGCGTCCCCGCAGCGTCCCCGCAGAGTCCCCGCAGCGTGCTTTTCGGTCGGTCCCGAGCGGGTTTGGATGGAAGCATGACAGTTGGGTTCGGGCTCCTGCTGCTCCTGCTGCTCCTGCTGCTGCTCGACCACGGAGCGCGGTGAGTCCCGTTACGCACGCCCCTCTATGCGCCAATGATGCTTTAAAAGTTGCATGATGGGTTTAGGGGGAGAGGGGGAGAAGGGGGAGGAGGAGAGGGAGAGGGGGAGGGGGAGGGGGGGGGGGGGGGGGGCTGGTTTGGGAGAGGGCTTTCCCCACGTATTCCCGCGCGTGCAGACTTTGACAGCTCGCGCACAAGCCTCCCCCCACATCCTAAAGGAAGTGTACGCACATACAGTGCCTTGCGAAAGTATTCGGCCCCCTTGAACCTTTCAACATTTCGCCACATTTCAGGCTTCAAACATAAAGATATAAAAATTAAATTTTTTGTCATGAATCAACAACAAGTGGGACATAATCGTGAAGTGGAACGAAATTTATTGGATAATTTAAACTTTTTTAACAAATAAAAAACTGAAAAGTGGGGCGTGCAATATTATTCGGCCCCTTGCGCTAATACTTTGTAGCGCCACCTTTTGCTGCAATTACAGCTGCAAGTCGCTTGGGGTATGTCTCTATCAGTTTTGCACATCAAGAGACTGGAATTCTTTGCCATTCTTCCTTGCAAAACAGCTCGAGCTCAGTGAGGTTGGATGGAGAGCGTTTGTGAACAGCAGTCTTCAGCTCTTTCCACAGATTCTCGATTGGATTCAGGTCTGGACTTTGACTTGGCCATTCTAACACCTGGATACGTCTATTTGTGAACCATTCCATTGTAGATTTGGCTTTATGTTTTGGATCATTGTCCTGTTGGAAGATAAATCTCCGTCCCAGTCTCAGGTCTTTTGCAGACTCCAACAGGTTTTCTTCCAGAATGGTCCTGTATTTGGCTCCATCCATCTTCCCATCAATTTTAGCCATCTTCCCTGTCCCTGCTGAAGAAAAGCAGGCCCAAACCATGATGCTGCCACCACCATGTTTGACAGTGGGGATGGTGTGTTCAGGGCGATGAGCTGTGTTGCTTTTACGCCTAACATATCGTTTTGCATTGTGGCCAAAAAGTTTGATTTTGGTTTCATCTGACCAGAGCACCTTCTTCCACATGTTTGGTGTGTCTCCCAGGTGGCTTGTGGCAAACTTTAAACAAGACTTTTTATGGATATCTTTGAGAAATGGCTTCCTTCTTGCCACTCTTCCATAAAGGCCAGATTTGTGCAGTGCACGACTGATTGTTGTCCTCTGGACAGACTCTCCCACCTCAGCTGTAGTTATCTGCAGTTCATCCAGAGAGATCATGGGCCTCTTGGCTGCATCTCTGATCAGTCTTCTCCTTGTTTGAGATGAAAGTTTGGAGGGACGGCCGGGTCTTGGTAGATTTGCAGTGGTCTGATACTCCTTCCATTTCAATATAATTGCTTGCACAGTGCTCCTTGAGGTGTTTAAAGCTTGGGAAATCTTTTTGTATCCAAATCCGGCTTTAAACTTCTCCACAACAGTATCTCGGACCTGCCTGGTGTGTTCCTTTGTCTTCATGGTTCTCTCTGCGCTTTAAACAGAACCCTGAGACTATCAAAGAGCAGGTGCATTTATACGGAGACTTGATTACACACAGGTGCATTCTATTTATCATCATCAGTCATTTAGGACAACATTGGATCATTCAAAGATCCTCACTGAACTTCTGGACTGAGTTTGCTGCACTGAAAGTAAAGGGGCCGAATAATATTGCACGCCCCACTTTTCAGTTTTTTATTTGTTAAAAAAGTTTAAATTATCCAATAAATTTTGTTCCACTTCACGATTGTGTCCCACTTGTTGTTGATTCATGACAAAAAAATAAAATTGTATATCTTTATGTTTGAAGCCTGAAATGTGGCGAAATGTTGAAAGGTTCAATACTTCAAAAGGCACTGTAGCTCCCCTGGCTGTTATAGCTCCCCTGGCTGTTATAGCTCCCCTGGCTGTTATAGCTCCCCTGGCTGTTATAGCTCCCGTGGCTGTTATAGCTCCCCTGACTGTTATAGCTCCCCTTGGTTGTTATAGCTCCCCTGGCTGTTAGTAAGTAAGTAAGTAATCTTTATTTATATACCGCCTTTCACAGACCAGAGTCACAAAGCGGTTTACAATTGTTATTTTTGGGCACTTATCCTCTCACTCCACACAGAGATGGGAGCGGGGTCGCCGAACAGGAGGCGCATGCCAGAACTATTGTGCATGTTTTTAGTGGTAGGGGAAACCGGAGTACCCGGAGGAAACCTACGCAGACACGGGGAGAACATGCAAACTCCACTCAGAAAGGCCCTGGTCCGGCCAGGATTCGAACCCAGGACCTTCTTGCTGAGAGGCGAGAGTGCTATCCACTCAGCCACCGTGCCGCCCTACCGCCCTGCCACCGTGCCGCCTGTTATAGCTCCCCTTGGTTGTTATAGCTCCCCTGACTGTTATAGCTCCCTGGGTGTTATAGCACTGGCTGTTATAGCTCCCTGGGTGTTATAGCACTGGCTGTTAAGCTCCCCCCCTAAAGCAACACACTATGAAACAAATGCACTAACACTTCCATCTAGTGGCAGAAAATGGGAATTACACTCTGCAGGAGACTAGACTGAAAACAGACAGTATTTTGGTTTTGAATGACAGAAAACAGCTCTGTCCACAGTGTACACAATATCTGAGGATTAAAAAGGATCATATGGATGGATGGACTGGAGGAGGAGTGTGATTGGACAGATTTGAGGCAGAAGTTATCATCTGGATAAAAACAATGTCAGAGATTCTTTGCCTTTCGCAGTAAAACCACAGTGGAATACATGAGTGAGAGTCCCCAAAGTGCAGTGAAAATGAGCTAGTATAGTATATAGTATTTATTTGTTTATCTTATAAATGTATGCTGATTTTACAATACCTTCCTCTTTTCTCCATCTCTCTTCTTTTAACTGTTTGCACCAAGAGCCAAAGAAATGTCCTAGTCTGACTTCCTTTTACCGTTTTTTCCCCATTATTCATTGTTATTTTTATTGTGGAAAACTGTGCAAGCTACTGTGACAACGCAATGTCCCTGTGGATCAATGAAGTCCGTCTAAGTCTATTAGGAGCACATTAAAGCCCTTCATTTCAACAGTGCACTTTATAATCCACTTTATTTATGAAGATAACGCCATCATTTGATAATGCGTCTTATTAGTGCGAAAAACACGGTCCTTAGATGGAAATAAAAAAAGATTGATTGTAAAAGTGTGAGGTACAGACCCATGACGCTCTTCTCGGGCGGGGGGGGGATGATGCAGCCCTGCAGACACTGTTTCACCGACAGCTTCTCGTACAGACCCAGGAAGTCACTGAAGCGCCGCCTCACGGAGAAGGTCTGACTCCTGAACATGGCCAGGGACGTCTACGGAGCACACGCTGGTTACAAACATCCAGTGATGGGAATAACGCCGTTACTTTTTTCAGTAACGAGTAATCTAATTACTTTGACTGTAACTATAACGCCGTTATCATTAACATCCCGTTACTGCGCGTTACTCAAGACGCACAATGAACTTCTCTTTTTACTTCATGTAGGACTCGTGTTGTTTGTTTGTTTGTTTGTTTATTTATTCATTTCAGGCATTTCACATGAGGCAGCAGTCACCTCTTGTTCATCATAGTTTCCAACAAAAAATAAAAAATAAGTAAAGCATTGCTAGCATGCATGAAAATAAAATAAAAAAATAAACCAAAATATTTGCCTGAAAGGGAGTAGGAAGAAGAAAACTTATTTAATCCTACCCCCATAATATGTATACAACAAAAATGTGCTTCTTTGCGAGACAGGGCTATCAACAACTTTCGACTTCTGCACTATATTAACACAGAAAGGTTTGAGTATTCACATTGTGGAGTTACCATAGTAACGCATCAGAGTTACATATGACAACAGTAATACAGGACTAACAATGGTAAGAGACAATACAAGCAATGGTTAGAGACAATACCAGCAATGGTAACAGACAATACCAGCAATGGTAAGAGACAATACCAGCAATGGTTAGAGACAATACCAGCAATGGTTAGAGACAATACCAGCAATGGTAAGAGACAATACCAGCAATGGTAAGAGACAATACCAGCAATGGTAAGAGACAATACCAGCAATGGTTAGAGACAATACCAGCAATGGTTAGAGACAATACCAGCAATGGTAAGAGACAAAACCAGCAATGGTAAGAGACAATACCAGCAATGGTAAGAGACAAGACCAGCAATGGTGACAGACAATACCAGCAATGGTAACAGACAATACCAGCAATGGTAAGAGACAAAACCAGCAATGGTAAGGAATGACAAATACATGACACAAACACAATACAGAAGTACAGAACAATTAAGACCCACTCTCTATATATTGTGACCAGACCAGATGTTTGTATAAAAGTTTGAATCCGTGAATATTTTGGCATTGCTTGTGGTGTGCATCCAGACTGTTCCATAGTTTCACACCTCGTACAGATACACAAAAGCTTTTACGAGTAGTTCGAATTTTAGGTAGTGTGAAGTCTCCAAATCCTCTCAGATTATGGGCTTTTTCCCAAATTGAGAAAAGGTGTTGTAGATTAATAGGTAATGATTTGTTAAAAGCTTTATATAGGATTATAGTTGTATTGTATTTTACAAGATCATTAAATTTTAGTAACTGTGTGGTGTGGTGTGGGGTGGGGGGGGGGGGTGTTTGGGTGGGGGGGGTGGGGGGGTGGGTGGGGGTTGGGTGGGGGGGGGGGGTGGGGTGGTGGGGGGGTGTGGGGGTTGGGGGGGTTGTGGGTGGGGTGGGTTGTGGTGGGGGTGGTGGTGGTGGTGTGGGGGTGGGGGGTTTGGGGTGTGTGTGGTTGGTTTTGGGTGTGGGGTGGGGGTGTGGGTGGTTTGTGTTTGGGGTGGGGGGGGGGGGTTGGTTGGTTGTTGGGGTGGTTTTGGGGGTTGGGTGGTGTTTGGGTTTTTGGTGTGGTGTTGTTTGGGGGGGGTGGGGGGTGGGGGGTTGTTGGGTGGGGTGGTTTTTTGGGTGTTGGGTGGTTGTGTGGTGTTGTGGGTGGGGTGGGGGTGGGGGGGGGGGGGTGGGGTGGTGGTGGGGTGTGGGTGGGGGGGTGGGGTGGGGGGGGGGGGGGGGGGTGGGGGGTGGGGGGGGGTGGGGGGGTGGTTGGGGGGGGGTGTGTTTTGGGTTGGTTGTTGGGGTGTATTGAATGTTGGATTGGGTTGGGGGGGTTGGGGGGTTGGGGGGTGGGGGTGGGTGGGGGTGTTGGGGGGGTGGGTGTTGGGGGGTTTTTGTGGGGGGGTGTGGGTGGGGGGGGTTGGGGGTGGGGGTGGGGGTTGTTGTGGTTTGGGGTGGGGGGGGGGGGGTTGGGGGGTGGGGGGGGGGTTTGGTGGGGGGGTGGTTGGGTGTTGGTGGGGGGGGGGGGGGGTGGTGTGTGGGTGTTGGGGTTTTTTTTTAGGGTGGGTGTGTTGGTGGGGTTTGGGGTTGTGTTGTTTGGGTTTGGGTGTGGTGGGGGTTGGTGTGGTGTGGGGGGGTGGGTGGGGGTGGGGTTGGGTTTGGGTGGGGTGGGGTGGGTTGGGGGGGGGGGGGGTGGTGGTTGGTGTTGGTGGTTGTGGGGGGGGTGTTTAATGGGGGGTGGTGGGGGTTGGTGGGGGGGGGGGTTGGTGGGTGGGTGTGGTTGTTGGTTGGGGTTGGGGGGTTGGTTTGGGTGTGGGGGTTTGGGGTGGTTTTTGTTTGTGGGGGGGTGGGTGGTGTGGGGTGTGTTGTGGTGTGGTTGTGTGGTTGTGTTGGGGGGGGGGGGTTTGTGGGGGGGTGGGGTGGGTGTTGTTGGGTGGGGGTGGTGGGTGTGGTTTGGGGGGGGTGTGGGGGGTGGGGGGGTGTGTGTGTGGAGTGGGGGGTGGGGGGGGGGTGGGGGGGGGGTTGGTGGGGGGTGGTGTGGGTGTGGGTTTGGGGGGGGGGGGGTGGTGGTTTGGGGTGGGTGGGTTTTTTTTTGTTGGGTGGTGGTGTGGTGGGGGGTGGGGGGGTGGGTGGTTGGTTGGGGTGTGTGGGGGTGTGGGGGTGGTGGGTGGGGGGGTTGTAGGGGTGTGTGTGGTGGTGTGTTGGGGTTTTGGGGGGGGGGGGTGGGGTGGGGTTGGGGGTGGGGGTTGGGGGGTGGGGGGGGGGGGTTTGTTGGTTGTTGGGTGTGTTGGGTGGGGGGGTGTGGTGGGTGTTTGGGTTGTTGGGGTTTTTGGTGGGTGGGGGGGGGTGTGGTTTTGTGTTTTTGGGTGTGGTTTTTTGTTGTGTGGGGTGGGTGTGGGTGGTTGGGGTGGTGTGGTGGTTGTGTGGTGTGTGTTGGGGGGGGGGGGGGGGGTTTGTGGGGGGGGTGGGGTGGGTTTGTTGGGGTGGGGGGGGTGGTGTGGGGTGGTTGGGGGGGGGTGGGGGGTGGGGGGGGTTGGGGTTTGGGGGGGTGTGTTGTGGTGGGTGTGTGTTTTGGGGGTTGGGTGGTGGGTGTGTGTTGGGGGTGGGTTTGGTGTGTGGGTGGGTGGGGGGGGTGGTGGGGGGGTGTGTGGGTGGTGGGGGGGTGGGGTGGTGGGGGGGTGTGGGGTGGTGTGTGTTTGTGGGGGTTGGTGGGGGTGTGTGGGGGGGGGTTGGTGGGGGGGGGGGGGTGTTTTTGTGGGGTGGGGGGGGGGGGGGGGGGGGGGGGGGTTGGTGGGGGTGGTTGTGGGTGTGGGGTTTTTGGGGGGGGGGTGGGTTGGGGGGGGGGGGTGGGTGGGGGGGGGGTTGGGGGGTGGGGGTGGTTGGGGTGGGGTTGGTGTGGGTGGGGTGGGGGGGGGTGGGTGGGAGTGGTGTGGTGTGTGGGTGGTTGATTATTTTTTTGGTGGGGGGTGGTTTTTGGGTGTGGGGGGGTGGGGGTGGGGGGGTGTGGGGTTTGTGTTGGGGGGGGGGTGTGGTGATGTGTGGTTTGGTGGTGGGGGGGGTTGGTGGGGGGGGGGGGGGGGGGGTGGGGGGGGTGGGGGTGTTTGGGGTGTGGGTGGGTGTGGGGGGGGGGTGGGGGGGGGGTGGGTGGTGTGTGTGTGGTTAGGGTGGTTTGTGGGGTTGGGGGGGGGTGGGGTGGGTTGTTGTGTTGTTGGGGGGGGGGGAGGGGGGGGGGGGGGGGGGGTTGGGTGTGGGTGGGGGGGGGGGTGGTGTGTGGTGTGTTTGGTTTTGTTGGGGTGTGTAGTGGGGTTGGGGTTGGGTTGGAGGTGGGGTTGGGGGTTTGGGTTGTTTGTGTGGTTGGGGGGGGTGTTGTGTTGGTGTTTTTGTGTGTTGTGGGGGGGGTTTTTGTGGGGTTGTTTGGTTGGTGGTGTGGATTGGGGTGTGTTGGGTGTGGTTGGGGGTGTGGGTTGGGGTTTGGTGGGGGTTGGTGGGGGTGGGGTGGGGGGGGTGGGTGGGGTTTTGTGGTTGTTTTTTTTTTGGGGGGTGTGGGTGGTTGTGTTTTGGTGGGGTGGGTTTTTTTTGTGGGGGGTGGTGGGGGGGGGGGGGTTGAGGGTGGGGGGGGGGGGGGGGGGGGGTGGGGTGTGGGGTGGTGGGTGGGGTTGGGGTGGGGGGGGGTGGTGGGAGGTGGGGGGGGTGGGGGGGGGGGGGGTGGGTGTTGGTGGGGGGGGGGGTGGGTGGGTGTGGTGGGGGGGGGGTGGTGGGGGGGGTGGGGGGTGTTGTGGTTGGTGGTGGTGTGTGGTTTTGTTGTTGGTGGTGTTGTTGGTGGTTGGTTGTGGTTGGGTGTTGTTGTTGTTGGGGTGGTGTTGTGGTTTGGTGTGGTGTTGTTGTGTTTTTTTGTGGTTGGAGTGGTGATGTTGGGGGTGTGTTGTGGATGGTTGTTTTTTGTGGTTGTGGTGTTGTTGTTGGTTTGGGGTTTTTTGTTGTTGTGTGGTGTTTGTTGTTGGTGTTGTGGTTGGTTGGTGTTGTGGTTGGTGTTTATGTTGTTATGGGGTTTTTTGTGGTTGTTGTAGGAGTGGTTGGGGGGTTTGTTGTGGTTGGGGAGTTTTTGTGGTAGGGGGGTTTTTTTTTGTTGGGTGTTGTTGTGGTGGGGGGTTTGTTTTGGGTTGGGGGGGGGGGGTGGATAGGGGGTGGGGGGGTGTGTGTGGGGGTTTTTTGTTGGGGGGGTTGGGGGTGTGGTGTGGGGGGGGTGGGTTGGGTGGTGGGGGGTTGGGGTGTGGGGGTTTGGTGGTGTGGTTGTGTGTTTGGTTGTGTGGTGGTGTGTTGTTGGTTTGTGGTGTTGGTGGGTGTGGTGTGGTGGTGGTTGTGTGGGTGGGTGGTGTGGGTTGGTGGGGGGGGTTGGGGGGGGTTGGGTGGGGTGTGTGTTGGGGTGTGTGTGGTGTGTGTTGGTGTGTGTGTGGTGGTGTTGGTGTTGTGGTTTGTGTTGAGTGTGTGGTTTGTGTGTGGTGGTGTGTGGGGTGTGTGTGTGTGTGTGTTGGTTGTGTTGTGTGTGTGGGGTGGGGTGTGGTGTGTGTGTGTGTGTGGTGTGGTGTGTGTGTGTGTTGGTGTTTTGTGTGTGTGGTGTGGTGTGGTGTTGTGTGTGTGTTGGTTTTGGTGTTGTGTTGTGGTTTGTGTGTGGTTGTGTGTGTGTGTGTGGTTTGTGGTGTGTGTGGGTGTGTGGTGGTGTGTGGTGGTGAGTTGTGGGGTGTGTTTGGTGTTGTGTGTGTGTTGTGTGTGTGGTGTGTGTGGTGTGTGTGGTGTGTGTGGTTTTGTGGTGATGGGTGTGTGTGGGGTGGGGGGGGGGTGGGGGGGTTGTGGGGGGGGTTTGGGTGGGGGGTTGGGATTGGGGTTTTGGGTTGTGGTTGGGTGGTGGGGTGTGGGGGGGGGGTGTGGGTGGGTGGGTGGTGGTTGGGGGTGGGTGGGGGTGGGTGGGGGGTTGGGGTGTTGGTGGGTGGTTGGGGGGGGGGGGGGGGTGGTGGTGGGGGGTGGGTGGGTTGGGTGGGGGGTTGGTGGTGGGTGGGGGGTTGTGGGGGGTTGTTGGGTGGGGGGGGTGTGGGGGGGGGTTGGGGGGGGAGGGTTTGTGGGGGGGGGTTGTGGGGGGGGGTGTGTGGGTTGGGGGGGGGGGGTGTGGTTGTGTGTGTGTGGTGTGTGTGGTGTGTGTGTTTGTTGTGTGTGTTGTTGTTTGTGTGTGTGTGTGTTGGTGTGTGTGGTGTGTTTTGGTGTGGGGGGGGTTGGGTTTGGGGTGTTGGTGGGGTTGGTGGGTGGGGGTGGGGGGGGGTGGTGGTGGGGGGGGTGGGGTGGTGGGTGTTGGTGTGTGGGGGGGGGTGTGGGGGGGGGGGGGGGGTGTGGGTGGGGTGGGGGGGGGGGGGGGTGGTGGGGGGGGTTAGGTGTTGGGTTTGGTTGGGGTGTGGGTGGGGGGTGTGTTGGTTGTTGTTTGTTGTTGGGTTGGTTTGTTTGGTTGGTGGGGGGTGGGGTTTGGTGTTTGTGTTTGGTGTTGTTGTGGTTGTTGTGGGTGTGGGTGGGTGTTGGGGGTTGGGGGGGGGGTGTTGGGGGTGTGTTTGGGGGTGGTTTGTGGGGGTTTTTGTTGGGGTGTGGGTTGGGTGTGTTGTGTAGGGGTGGTGGGGGTGGGGGGGTGTTTGGGGGGTGGGGTTGTGTTTGGGGGGGTGTGGTTGTTGTTTGGTTGTTGGGGGGGTGTGGGTTGGGGGGGGGGGGTGGTTGGGGGTGGGGGGGGTGTGGGGGTTGGTGTGTTTGGGGGGTGTGTGTGGTTGGGTGGGTTGTGGGTGGGTTTGTGTTGGTTGTGGTGTGGTGGGGGGGTAGAGTATTGGTTATAGTGGGGTGGATGGGTGTGGGATGGTGATGGGTGGTTGTTGGGGGTAGGTGGGAATTGTAGATAGTGGTGTGGGGGTGTTGGGTGGGGTGGGGGTGGGTGTGGGGGGGGGGGGGGTAGGTGTGGGGTTGTTTTTTGTGGGTGGGTGGTTGTGGTGAGTGGGGGGGGTTTTGGGGGTGGTTTTTGGGGGGTGTGGTGGGGGGGTGGTTGGGTTTTTTTGGTGGGTGTTGTTTATTAGTTTGTTTTGTGTGTTGGTGTGTGTTGGGTTTTTATTGGTTTGTGGTGGGGGTTTGGGGGGGTGGGGGGTGGGGGTGTGTGTGTGGGGTTGTGGGGTGGATTGGGTTGGGGGGGTGGGGGGTTTGGTGGTTGGAGGGGGGGGTGGGTTGTTGTGGGGGGTTGTGTGGTTTGTGGTTGGGGTGTTTTGGGGGGGTTTGTGAGGGGTGTGGTGTTGGGTGTGGTGGGGTGGGGTGTGTGGGGGGGGTGTGGTGGTGGGTGTGGGTTGTGGGGGGTGGGGTTGTGTGTGTAGTTGTGGTGTGGTGGGTTGGGGGGGGGGGTTTGGGGGGGTGGTTGGTTGTTGTGGGGGGGTGTTTTGTTTGTTGTGGAGTTGGGGTTTTTTGTGGGGGGGGGGGTGGGTGGTGTTTGGTGTTGGGGGGGGTGTGGGTGGGGTTGGTGTGGTGGGTGGGGTTGGGGGGGGGTTTGGGGTGGGGGGGGGTGTGGTGGGGTTGTTTGGTTGGTGGTGGTGGGTGTGGGGGGTGTGTGTTGGTGGTGGTGGTGGGGGGGGGGGGGGGTTGGGGGGGGTTGTGGTGGGGGTGGGGTGGGGGGGTGTGTGTGTGGTGGGTGTTGGTTGGTTATTGGTTTTTTGGTTGTTGTGTTGTGGGTGGTGGGGAGTGTGTGTTGGGGGGGGGTGGGGGGGGGGTGGTGTTGTGGTTTGGTGGGGGGGGGGGGGTGTGGGGGGTGGTTGTTTGGTGTTTGTTTTGGTTGGGTGTGTGTTGTTGAGAAAGAGGGTAGGGTGGGAAGGGGTGGTGGAATGATGGTATGTGGTGTGGAGGGTAGTTGTGGGGGATTTAAAGTTGTTTGTAATTAGAGTATTGTGAGTTTAGGATGGGGGGTAGAGGGGGGGGGTGATGGGGGGATTGAGGGGGGTTTTTGGGGGTGGGGATTTTGAATTGGGTATGTAGGGGAAGTTGGTTGTTTATGTGATGGAGTATGGGAGATATGGGGGGTTGGATATTAGGGTTTTATGGGGGGAGATGGGGTGTAATTTTGGGGGTGTGTTTGTTTGGGGTAGGGGGAGGGGTTGTTGGTGTGGGGGGTGTGGGAGGGGGGGGGGGGGTGGTGTTGTGTTGGGTATTGTGAGGTATATATTTAGGGTTTTTTTTGTGGTGGGGGATTTTTTTTGTTGTGTGTTTGTGGTGGGTGGTGTTTGGTTTGGGTTTGGGGTGGTAGTGGTATGGTGGGTTGTTTAATGGGTGGGTTGTTTGTGTGGTTTTGGGTTTTGGTGTTGGGGTTTGGTGTTTGTGTGTTTGAGTTTTTGGTTGGTTTTTTGTTTTTGGGGGTAGGTGGTTGGGTTTGTGATTGGGGGTGGTGGGGGGGTGTTTGGTTGGTGGGTGGGGTGTGGGTTGTGTTGTTGGTGGGTTGTTGGGGGGGTTGGTGGGGTGGGGTGTTGTGGTGTGGGGGGGGGGTATTTGTTTTATTGGGGGTGGGGGTGGGGGAGGAGGGGAGGGGTGGGTTGGTTGGTGATGTGTGTTGGAGGTGGGTGGGTGGGTGTGGTGTTGGTGGATGGTGTTTGGAGGATTGGTTTTTTAGGGGGGTGGTTTTGGGTGGGGGGGTTTGGGGGGGGGTTGTTGTTGGGTTGGGTTTGGGGGGGGGGGGTGTGGGGGGGGGGGGGGTGTGTTTGTGGGTGGGGGGGTTGGGGGTTTGGTGTGGTGGTGGTTGGGGGTGGGTGTAGGTGTTGGTGTTGGATGGGGTTTGTGTTGTGTTGTTGTTGTGTTGTTTGTTGGGGGTTGTGTTGGGGTGGGGTGGTGTGGGTGGGTGGTGGGGTGGGTGTGGTGTTTTTGTGGGTGGGGTGGTGTGGTTGGAGGGGGGGGGGTTTGGGGGGGGGGGGGGGGGGGTGGGGGTGGGGGGGGTGTTGGTTTGGGGTTTGGTGGTGGGGGGGGGGTGGTGTTTGGGTGGGTTTTGGTGTGGTTTGTTTTTGGTTTGTGGGTTGGGGTGGGGGGGGGGGGGGTGGGGGGTGGTGGTGGGGTGGGGGGGTGTTGTGGTTGGTTGGGGGTGGTTGGGTGGGTTGTGTTTGTGGTTGGTGTTGGGGGGGTGGGTGGGGTGGGGTTTTGTTGGTTGGGGGGGTTGGGGGGGGTTGGTGTTGGTTGTGTGGGGTGTGGGGGGGGGTGGTGTTGGTTGTTTGTGTGTGTTGGGTTTGTGTGTTTGGGGTGGGGGGGTGGGGTTGTGGGGGGGTGGGTTTGGGTGGTTTTTTTGGGGTTGGTTTTTGGTTTGGGGTTGTGGTGGGGGTGTGGGGTGGGTGTGTGTGTGTGTTGGTTGTTGTTGGGGGGTATGGAGGTTTTTTTGGTGGGGGGGGGTGTGTTGGGTGGTGGGTGTGTGGGTGGTGGTGGGGGTGGGGGGGGGGGGTTGTTATTGGGGTTTGGGGTTGTTGGTTTTTGGTTGTTGGGGTGGGTGTGAGGGGTGGGGGGGTGGGGGGGGTGTTGGTGTTGGGGGTTTGGGGGTGGGGGTTTGGGGGGTTTGGTGGTTGGGGGGTAGTGTGTTGGGGTGGTTGGGGGTTGGGGGTTTGGGGTGGGGTTGGGGTGTGGGTTGGGGGGTTTGGGGGGTTGGGGGTTGGGGGGTAGGGGGGGTTGGGGGTTGGGGGTTTGGTGGGTTTGGGGTTGGGGTTGGGGGGGGTTGGGGGGGGGTTGGGGGGGTTGGGGGGTGGGGGTTGGGTGGTGGGGGGTGGGGGTTTTTTGTGTTGTGGGTTTTGGGTTTGTTGTGGGGGGGTGTTGTGGGGGTTGTGTGGGTTGGGGGGTTGGGGGTTGGGGGGTTGGGGGTGTGTGTGGGTGTGTTTGTGGGTTGGGTTGTGTTGGTGTTTGGTTGTGTTGGTTGTGTTTTGTTGTGTGTGTGGGGTTGGGTGTGTGTGGTGGGGTTGTTGGGGTTTGTGGGGTGGGGTGTTGTTGGGGTTTGGGTTGTGGGTGTGGGTGTGGGTTTGGGTGGGGGGGGGGGGTTGTGGGGTGGGTGTGGTGTGGGGGTGGGTTGGGGGGGGGTGTGGTGGGGGGTTGGTTGGTGTGGGGTGGGTGGTGGGTGTGTGGGTTGGTGGTTGTGTGTGTGTTTGGTGTGGGGTTTGGTGGTGGGGTTTGGTGTGGTGTGGTGGTGGGGTTGTGGTGGGTTTGGTGGTGGGTTGGTTGGGGTTGGGGTTTGGTGGTGGGGGGTTAGTGGTGTGGGGTTGGTGTGGTTTGTGGGGGTTTGGTGTTGGTTTGTTGGGGGGTGGGGGTTTGTTGTGGGTGGGGTTGGTGGTGGGGTTTGTGGGTGGTGTTTGGTGTGGTTTGGTGGTGGGTTTGGTGGTGGGGTTTGGTGGGTGGGGGGTTGGTGGTTTGTTGGGTGGGGTTTGGTGGTGGGGGGGGTGGGGGTGGGGGGGGGGGGGGTGGTGGGGGTGGGTTGGGTGGGGTGGGGGGGTGGGGGTGTTTTGTGTGTTGGGGGTGGGTGTGGGGGGGGTGGTGGGGGGTTGTGGGGTGGGTGGTGTGTGTTGGGGTGGTGGGTGTGGTGGGGGGGGTTGGGGGGGGGGTTGGGTTGTTGGGGGTTGTTTGGAGGTGTGGGGGTTGTATTTTGGGGGGTTTGTTGGGGGGTTTTGTGGTTGGGTTGGGTGGTTGAGTGGGTTGGTGGGGGGTGGGGGATTGGGTGTTGGGGTTGTGGGGGGGGGGTTTGTGTGGGTGTTTGGTGGTGGGGGGTTGGGTGGGGGTGGTGTGTGGGGGGGGGGGGGTGTGTGGGTGGTGTGGTGGGGGGTGTGGGGGGGTGGGGGTTGATGATTGGGGGGGTTTTGGGGTGGGGGGGGGTTTGGGGGGGTTGGGGTGTTGTGGTTGTGGGGGTGGTGTTGGGGGTGGTGGGGGGGGTGGGGGGGGTGTTTGGGGGGGGGGGGGGTTGGTGGTGGTGGGGTTGGGGGGGTTGGGGTGGGGGGGGGGGGGTGGGGTGGTGGGGGGGGTGGGGGGTTGGGGGGGGGTTGTGGGTGGGGTGTGTGGGTGGGGGGTGGTGTGGTGGGTGTGGGGGGTGGGGGTGTTGGGTGTGGTGGGGTTGGTTTTGGGGGTGTGTGTGGGTGTGGGTGTTTGTGTTTGGGGTGGGGGGGGGGGGGGGGTTGGTGGTGGTTGGGTGGGTTTGGGGGTTGGGTGTGTGGTTGGTGTGTTTGGGTTTGGTGTTGTTTGGGGGGTGGGGTGGGGGGGGTGGGTTGTGGGGGGGGTTTTTTGGGGTTGGGTTTGTGGGGTGTGTGGTGGGGGGGGGGGGGGGGGGGGGGGGGGGTGGGGTGGTGGTGGGTGTGGTGGGGGGGGGGGGGGGGGGGGGGTGGGGGGGTGGGGGGGGGTGGGGGTTGGGGGGTTTTTGGGGAGGGTGGGTTGGGTGTGGTTGGGGGTGGGGTGGGGGGTTGGGGGGGTTGGGGGTGGGGGGGGGGGGTGTGTTGGGGGTGGTGTTGGGGGTGTTTTGGGGGGGTTGTGGGTGGGGGGTGTGGGGGTTGGGTGGGGGTTTTGGGGTTGGGTGGGGGGGGGGGGTTGGGGGGGTGGGGGGGGTTGTTTGGGGGGGTTGTGGGTGTGTGGTGGGGGGGGGGGGGGGTGGTTTTTGGGGTGTTGGTTTTGTTGTTGGTGGTGGTGTGGGTGGGGTGTGGGTGGGGGTTTGGGTTTGGGTGTGGTGGGGGTTGTGGTGGTGTGGGGGGGGGGGGGGTGGGGGGTGGGGTGGGGGTTTTGGGTGGGTGGGGTGGGGTTTGGGGGGGGGGGGGGGGGTGTGGTTGGTGTGGTGGTTGTGGGGTGTTTGGTGGGTGGGTGGGGGTTGGTGGGGGGGGGTGGTGGGGGGGGTGGTGGTTGTTGGTTGGGGGTTGGGGGTGGTTGTGTGGGGGGGTTGGGGTTGGTGTGTTTGTTTGTGGGGGTTGGGTGGTTGGGGTGTTGTGTTGGTGTGGGTGGTGTTTGGGGGGGGGGGGGGTTTGTGGGGGGTGGGTGGGTTTGGTTGGTGGGGGTGTGTGGGTGTTGGGGGGTGGGGGGTGGGGGGGGGGTGTGTGTGGTGGTGGTGGTTGGGGGGGGGGGGGGGTGGGGGGGGTTTGTGGGGGGGGTGGTGTGGGGTTTGTTGTGGGGGGGGGGGGGGGGGGTGGTTGTGTGGGGTGGTTGGGTTTTGTTTGTTTGGGGTGGGTGGTGTGTGGGGGGGTGGGGTGGGGTGTTTGGTTGGGTGTGTGGGGTGTGGGGTGGTGTGGGGGTGGTTGGGTTGTGGGTGGTTGTGTGTGGGTGTTGGGGGGTGGGGGGGTGGGTGTGGGGGGTTGGGGGGGTGGGGGGGGGTTGTGTTGTTGGGGGTGTGTTGGTGGGGGGGTGTGGGTGGGGGGTTGGGGGTGGGTGGGGGTTGTTGGTGGGTGGGGGGGTGGGTGGTGTGTGTGGTGTTGGGTGTGTTGGTTTTTTGTGTGGGGGGGTGTGGTTGGTGGGGGGGGGTGGTTGTGTGTGGTTGGGGTGGTGTGTTGGGGGGGGGGGGTTTGTGGGGGGTGGGTGGTGTTGGTTGGTGGGGGGGGGTGTGTGTGTTGGGGGGGGGGTGGGGGGTGGGGGGGGGGTTGGGGTTTGGGGGTGGTGTTGTGTGGTTGTTGTTGGGGGTTGGGGGTGGGTGTGGGTTTTTGGGTGGGTTTTGGGTGGGTGGGGTGGTGGGGGTGGTGGGGTGTGGTGGGTGGGGGGTGGGGTGGTGGGGGGTGGTGGGGGTGGTGGGGGTTGTGTGGGTGGTGGTGGGGGGGTTTGGGGGGTTGGTGGGGGTGTTTTTGTGGTGGGGGGGGGGGGGGGGGGGGGGGGGGG